TTCTCAATTACATCTTCAAAATAAAGCTCTTCATTTGTGGAGTTGGAATTAAATTTGGTACCTTCTGATTTTCGAATTCCAAATCAACGCAATTTTTGTTTTTTTTTTTAATAAATTTTTCGAAACGCGGCACAATACAATCTTGGGTACATTTTGAATTGTATATTCGAGCAAGTTTTGGCTTTCTGTTTCGGTTGCGTGGTATAATCAGCCTGTAACGATGAGGAAATGCAAGACGAAGCAATAATGTACATTTCCGTTCTATACTTAAAAAAAAATCTGAAAAAAAAAAAATGAATAGACGTTTTGATTAGGCTCCTTTTTGATCGTGAACCTTATTTCACGGCGCGGCAACACCACGAGTGAACTGTTGTATTCGAATCTAGGTTATGACCTAGATTCGAATATGATGTCAATCGATTCAAGCCTGTCTGGCTGTATGAAGCTTGTCCATATAAATTTGTGTTTAATATACAGGACACAAATTTTCAAGGCCTTTTGATAAAATTTTGTGCATTACCCAGCGTTTTGGTTGAAATTCAATGATTTAAACTGTAGGATTTCCTCGGGCAAGGTAAAAGAAAATTTTGTGAGTCATTTGCCACAAAATTTGATTGGATATTGGAATAAGAGTAAGACGGAAAAGATCGACAATTAAATTTCCCTTTCTTCGCCTTATACAATTATTAGTTTATACTCTTGGTAACATACTAAGAATTATAAATTGTTCCGATGCAAATGTCCACTTTTTATGAGTACCTCTCCTTATATAAAAAATAAACTAATAAAATAAAATAAACTTACGTGTAGTCTAAATTTTATTATTATCAAGATATTACATATCAAATCTTTTTGGCCATATAAAGACTTAATTTTCAGGAAAATCCTCGTATAACATGAGGTCAAAAATGTAGTTAATGTAGATCTGCAATTATTAGCATTATTATTCGGCGACCTTTGTAGGGATAATTTTGGTTGATTTACTTAATTGCAAAGGAAAAAGAAAAGCTGTATATATTGTTCAACATCCTGCCGGATTAAAGAAATTTCCTATGCATTTTTAGGGCTATACATGAAAGTGTAACGACTGATCGTTTCTCATAGGGCGACTCTCATTAAAAATTCGGCTTTATCGAATACGAGAATGAGAGAAGAATAAATACGGCAAGATCAAATTTCTTTGATTGACTTTCCGTTTTGTTTCGAACCGCATTTACCATGCTATGCACTGACCGCAGTAATTGAACGAAATTTTAAATCAATGAAAAATTTTAATTTCTGAGCATGTTTGCTTTTATTTTGTAAAGGAATTCTTAAAATGTTCATAAAAAATAATCGTAAGAAGAAGGAAAGAGAAGAGGTTTTTAAGCGAGACCTTTGCGGTCATCAAAGTTATTTCAATATACTTAGACTTTGTTATGAGCAAGAGTGCGATAATTTTAATCACTTCTTCGAATATTTAAAAGAAAATATGAAAGACATTTGCGCTTTCTGTAGCATTCTAATCTAATAACACAAGAGCATTACGAGTTGGACCACAAAAGCGAATTCATTTTTAAATCCCATAACAAATGAAGTCTCTCTGTGACAAAAAAAAATTTCCCAATAACTATACGATATGTACGCGATCTTATAGTCCATAACAACGCTACTGAAATTGTTTCTTGCGAATAAGTAGACTAAGCGTTTGAAACTTTAATTGTAAGTAATAGACTGAAAGTAAGAAGGGACATAGGGTGAATGTAGCAAAACTCATTTTCTTTTAGATTGAAGACCGCAAATATTTTGTTGCGTATTTAAGTATGTCGACATCGCTATTGCGTTCCCTTTTTGCTATATAAAAGTCACATCGTTAGCAGAATAAAAATATTTGTAAGAAAAATGCTTACAATGTTTAAAATGTTTTATGAAGATTTTGGCGGCTTTGTGTTAAAAATGTACAACTCTCTCTGTATATTTTAATCTCTCACTCTACTGAATTAAATTGAAACGAGACAATTATGATAATCATATTCCGGATTCGGATATTTCGGATTTTTCCGCTAGACGTTAGTGCGCCCATTTGTAGATAATAACCTTCTTCTTGTGACGGAACAATGCCAAGACATTTATAAAAGCGAAAGAAAGTTTAGTGTACGCGTACAAAGACGTTTTTGAACCCGCAGTTCTATTTTATTCGGTTTGATTTAATTCTTAATCGGTTTTTTGTTTCTTTGTAATATTAAGATTTGGATTTTGGATTCGAAATACATTTATTAGTTGCTATCTTTGTTTACAAATCATATATAAATTCGAGAGACAATTCTGATTTATCGTATTTTAATTTTTCAAGCGTTGGAGTTACCAATTCCGCCAAGGTGGAGCGCGCAGAGTCCATGATATACGGATAGACTTCACCATGGCTAGAGGAATTCCTTTAACGCGTCGATAAACTTTTGAATCTGTTGCCATAATTTCGAGGCGGGTACCGGATCCATTCCTAATAAATCGTTCATTCTCTTAGGTACGTCACAACCATCGATTAAAATAATCCTTATAACTTCTATCCGAACATCGTGAGTAGCGCTGCTCGTAGAGAAGCGATTTGATTTGTGGCTAAATGGAACATCCCGAAAATTCTTCTTCGTTCAAAAAAAGTCAACCAATAACACAAACACTCGAAACAAGGTGATGAGCATGTAGCAAGTTAATAGCAAGCAATCTAGAAATCGAGGGAATCATATCTCAACGTCTTCGACAAAATGGAATCACTATTCACTCCCGACAGTTCAGTGGCAATCATTTCGTTCTTTTTAAATGGTTTGACAACCATTGGTGTGACAACGTTCAAAGTTTCTACGACTTCTTTAATGGTTTGGGACCTACATTTCGTTAAATATTTCCCGCAGATTTTTCTTTTCACAATTTTAGCCTGTTTGTTAGTTTCTTGCAATGGCCCAATCAATCTTGTGCTTCTACGCTTCCCGCAAACATTGTCCTCATTCTTCGAATTTGCAAATATATTGGCGTATGCCAATGAATGAGCGCGCGCCCAATTTTCTATATTGACATAAATTCGTTACAATGGTGCATCAAGCGACAACTTAATGCGAAATGAAATTAATTGGGCGATGATAAAAGCGAATTCAAGCATTCAATGTTATGACAAAGTATCTGTAAAGGTAGTATTTTTGTTTTTTATTTGCTCTTAAGAGGTCATCCAGAGGCCTGCCAGTCTCTTGATTGTGTTTTTACGGTGTAAACATAAAATTTATATTGTGCCCTTCAATCGAAGAAACAAATATACATACAATTTAAATGTTAAAAAGGTTTAAAGGTTTCTTATGTCTACGCCAGTGACCTTTGCTGCAGTATAAACCCCAAAGACCTTTTCCAACGACCTAAGCTCGTCCGTGCGTATATGCGCTTGCGTAGCAATCATAAAGACATCTGTTGCAAACCTTTGAAAAACGTAAGCATATATAGCATAAGCTAAAAACATCTCTGTTTTTGAAAGCAAAAGGATTAGCAATTCTTTAAGGGATAAAAGCACTCCAGGAAGAAAATATGCTGAGGAAGTTTTTCAAGGTACATTCAAGTAATAAAAAAGGGATTATAGTCGAAAAGAAAATGTGTAAAGTATAGTTGGAAGCAATCATATAATTCAGAGGGAAATCATTTTAGATGTAAAAAAAAAAAAAAAAAATTGTTATGTTATAGAAGGTAATTGAAAGTAGAAATAAAAAAATGCATAAACTTTGAACGTGCTTCGGATAAATTTAAAAATCTGGTACAAAGGATTTCTTTTTTTTAATGAAAAGTGACACGTAGTCGAGGGAGAGACTTTGGGAAACTTATCACATACAAAGTATTTTATTGCTATAAGGCAGATGTGATCAAATAAACTCTGCTCTCCACGACAATGTAGAGTGTATGTTAGGCTTTCTTCTAAGCTTTACCAATTTATCTATGATTTTTATGTGGACAACGTTAAGTGTACGAATAAATTCCTTCCGCTGAACTGATTGCTTCATAAAATGTACTTAACGTGTTCAATTTTCCCGAAATTTCAGATATTGATGTTTACAAGGTGTCGTTCCGTGTATGCGAAAGTTCAAAAAGGCGACCGTTATCTATGAAACCGCACTGCAAAAATGCAGCTTAAGTTACGAAAATAATTAAGTTAACTTTGAATGAAAATGGAATAAGCTACGAAACATTTAGAAAGTGGTTTGCGAGATCTCGAGTGAAAAACTGTACCCCCGAAAACGATGAAAATCTGTATAAGCCCGTCCGTCTCAAGCAAAAGCAATCCAGGAAATAGGTTTTAGCTCAGAAGCTGAACAGTTTTAATGCATCCCCCATATTCTTCAGACATGGCGCCTTCCGATTAATGCTTATTTAGATTGATGCAGTCATATTTAGTAGGTCAGTGATTCATAGAAGTTGAAGATGTGCGAAAACGGGTCGATTGTTGTTTTCACTCCCAAACTGCAAGTTTGCTCTGCGAGGGCATCCATAAACTGCCCGGTAAATGACAAAAGACCATCGATAATGATTGTGCATAGCTCGCTTGTTAGGCTTTACAACAAGTATATTTGAAATGCGGTTGAATTTTATTTTAAAAAATGCATGAATTTATTTGTACACCTATCAATTCGTGGGCCCTGTTTTGCCTTTTATCACTTTCCGAACATTCTTTTGTTGATAATGAAAGGTTGTAGCACTTTTCACATAGGTTTAACTTTTTTAGGGTTTTTTTATTTATTTTATAAATCACTATTTTTTTGATGAAGTTTCGAGTTTTTTAAAAGCTTTCGTTTTTGCAAATGTTTTGAAAAAATATTTTTGAAATTTTTTGCACAAGTTTTTCAAAAGATATTAAGAAACACATATGTTACGATGAAAAGGTGTAAAAGGCAACTATTTATAGCATTTACATATTGTATATATATTTATATACATATATATTTTATATATATATATAAAATGTGTATATATATATATATTATATATATTACATATATATAATTCAATTAACCGTTTACATTTTTAGCAAATGTACTAAGGACAAGAAGACCGATTTTCATTCAAGCGCGCTCTTGAAAGTTTTCAATAACGTAACTGCTTCATGCAATCCCGGCGGCATTCTTCATAAGTATGGAAGTTATTCTTCGTTGCACCGCAGCCAGAGTAATAAAAACTCGTACATTTGCCTGAACTGTCGTCATAGGCGTAACGTAACATCCTGCCACGGCAGGGGCCTGAAGTTCTCGGCTGATGACAGGCTGAAAAATGAATTGAATTACTAACTAAGAGTCATCTATAAAAAGTAAACGATATTTACTTACCTGCAGGTTGAACGGTTTGATTTTTTTTTGCTTCTACATTGGGTAGGGATAGAGCGATCATCAACGATGATATGATTATAATGGAAAATATTTTGAAAAATGATTTATACATTTTTTGACTAGTTTTAAACCTTAACCTTAAAAGCCTGTCTTTCAGCCGTCACTCATGCACTTGGGATCTATTTCACAATAAGCGACTTGTAGTCTCTTTTTTCTCTCTTTTATCTTTTTAATTAAAATGCAATTAGTTGTTATAACTAATAAATAGTATCGTTTTTCCTATTATTGCAATTGTTCTTTGTGTTTTTTAACTTAAAAGGAAGATAAGATCACATATTGTTTAACTTTCGTTGCAAATGCATTGAAGTTGAACAACAAAATTTATCATAATTTTCAACGAAACTATTTTTCATTAACTAATTTTGAAATTTCAAACTCGAATAACAAAAAAATATAAATTTGTGACAGTAAGCTTATATCGATAAAATGCAGAGCTTCCCAAAGAAAGAAAAAAAAAATATGCAATATTTAAAATGCCAGGAAATTGTATAAAAATCACGTTTACCTACTTATATCTATGCAATGCTTTTTGCTAGCAAAACATTTGCTTACCATTGAATACGATAAGATAAAGAAAACAGCGAGCATTGAGTAAGATAATGTTATAGTATAGCTTAAGAAATCTAGCATTTTGTTTATTTCATACATATACACACATATAAATTTAAACATATCAGCATATTTTTTGAAAAAAAAAAAAAAAATTAATTTCTATAATAAAGAACACAATAACAACCTAAAGAAGCACATTTTTATAAAATAATAAAAATTAAAATTCAATAATTGTCTCCGAAAAAGGTTATTTAAATTGAACGAGAAAACTGTATGTATTCGTTGTAAAAAGAGGAAGAATTTTCAAATCCGACTATTATTATCATATGTACTGTTACTATCACTTGTAAGAACATTTGCAAAGTCTTGTTTTTCAACAGTGTAGGTATAAAGAAGGGGGGAAATAAGTCCCATTATACGTAGGGTTAAGCAGAAGATAAAAAAAGGCACATGAATAAATTAATTACTTTATTAACCCTTTGCGGCTCTACTTTCTTGCTTCCTGGTTAAAACTAATAAAATTTACGGTAAAGCTTTGCAGGACAACATATCCTAAGAAGAAAAAGAAAAAAAAAGAAAAAAATTAATTGGAATTTGATACGAATCAAACATAACTGTATACGTGTATTAGAATACCATTCTCCAAAAGTTTATATAATGAGAAGACATTACTCCATTACGTTGAAACATATTCGGCTGGCATTCGTTCGCAGCATTTCATTTGAGGTCTGGCGCATCATTAATACTGCGGCACTCCTTATTCTGACAGAAAAAATTCCAACTTATCAGATTGAACACCTAGCGTAATAAAGCTAAGAACTCAACAATAAAAATAATTGCTCTGTCCCTGGCTGCGGAAAAGCATAATTCTCAGTAGGGTAAACCTAAGTGAACAATAGCTGAACGCGAGTGGTGATTAAAGTTATCGGCCCGAATACCCGCCCGTTTATTATCAATGTTTGAAGCGGTAGTAACGTAAATCAGACACACTTTCACACAACTAATCGATCGTTAATTACTCAAGTTGTCGCAGAATAGGACTCTAAAAAGTGCGCTCGGTTAAAGCATTATTTACGTAAGTACAAGTTTTTCCTGAAACTTGTGCCATCCAGAACTTTTTCCAACATAATATAAATAAATACAAGCAGGAGATGGATGCCGGAAAGTCATATTTACTAAGCGCAGCAAGTTGGTGAACTGAGCCGAAATATGTACATAAAATGTTTTTTCGTAGCCTTCACCGCCTGTGCTGTAGGGTACAATAACGTAAGTACTTGAGATATACGCGTCTTTTAGTATAGCGATTGATTCAGAATCGATCAAAGTTGGTCTGCCCGGTCTGACTTGTTTTCTTGTATTCAACTTAGGGACTGCAGTTTCGAAAATATTTTAATGAAATTTGGAGTTTTGACCCAAGGACGAACGCTATTGAAAATGGTTCCTATTGGACTATTTTTTCGACCACTTTCCATAGAAGGCCTTATTCTGAAAAGTCTAGAGCGCTAAAGGCTATTTGATCGTGGGCCACTATAATGTTTTCAGTTGCCTTTATTTTGGTGTAATTTTTATAGGTATAGGTTTTTGAGCAAAATACATGTACTAAAATTCTGCTTTTCTTCTTAATTTTCATGTCCAGCTTTCGTTAAATATGTCTTCGAATTTTAAGCGCAAAACGACGAATATTAGTACACTGTGAAATACAGTGGAGAAATTATATAAAAATTAGGTTATGTTTGCAGTAAATAAATTTAATTGAAATAAAATAGTATATTCTTCAAAACAATGTTCACTTCATTACAGGAGTAAGATTAATTCTTTTCTTTGTTGCCTTATAGATTAAAAACACGACCGCAAAAGGTCAAATGATGACAAGGATTGGTTATTTTGTTTTTCTTTTTGGGTTTTTTAAGGTCACATGAGGTTATTAATATAAATATATAAAAAGAAAAATACCTAAACCGTTGCATAACAAAAAGGTCGTAGTTATGTCTCTAATTTCAAAAAATTTTTTTTCTTAAATCTCTTAATACAAAATAGTTTCATTTTTATGAAAAACTTAACATTGGCTTACTTGGAAGTGTTACTTATTAAAGATTGTTGTGAAATTTAATCTTCTTCTCTTCTCTTTTTTTTTTTTTTTTTGCCTCTTTCGAAAAAGCCTAATAAATTCTTTTTTGATATGGTTTCAGCTGTGCTGTTTGCTTTTGATATTTGTATCCTTTCGTTCTCTTCTTTTTCGTTTCTTTCTTTTATTGTATGTAATATTGCACCTTTTCTATTTGTATGCATGGAAGACTTCGGGCTTTTTCAACGATCTAAAGTAAGTAAATTATGGCTTCTTCTTACTTAAGCTGGATAATATTAAGCTTTTACTTTTTCAGAAGTCCTTATCCCAACCGGTTACATCGTCGGGCGGCGGTCCCTCGGGATCAGGTGGATAATCATCGAAATTGGTAGTGTCGGTAACGCTTTTCACTGTCGGTTTAATCGGCGGCTCTAAAGACCGATTTTGCAATCCCCACCAGTAAAAGCCATCAAACCATCTATATATAGATTCAGATTGATTTTTATCTAAATTTTATAATTAATTTTTTCCATGCACTTACTTGTGCTTTTGTATTTCACTTATGCCACCCCGCTGATAACCTAAGCGTTCCGCTGGGTTGTCGCGACATAATTTCTTAATTAAATTTCGTGCATTACTGGTAATGTTACGAGGGAACTCTATGGCATCAATACCTTTTAATATAATATTATAGGTACGCATAGGATCAGAACCTGTAAACGGTGGTGTACCTAAGATGATAAAAACAAAATGTTAAGTTCTGGAGAGACTAAAGTACTAGTGGAATCTTTTTTTTTTATTAGGATCAGAAAGAAAAACTCTCTCTCTCTCTCTCTCTCTCTCCCGTTTTTCTAATATCTTGCACAACTTGTGGCATAGGAGTGTAATAAATTTGTGCGAATGCATGTAACCTTCGGAAGGAGTTCCGACAGACCCAGTTTTTATTATATCGATCAAGTCAGGATCATTTTCTAAGCTTGTCTGTCCGTCTACGCGTCTTGGTTTCTTGCGTCCAATGTACAATTCGTAATTTTCGCGATATTTTGATGAAAGGAGGAACATCGACATGTTTTGGGCCAAGGGCAAATTTTATTAAAAATGGTTCGCATCGGATCACTCTCCTTATAACAGCTTATCTTGAAAAGTTATATGAATAATTGTATTTAGGGAAGTGGTGTAGAGTGCTTAAGAGTATGCCTTGTCTGACAATAGCGTGTTTATTTGCTTTTCATTTATTTTACAGATGCATAGAACAGTACTTTTTAACTCATAAGTAACATGATCTCTCCTCCGTCTTAATTTAGACAATGTCTTATCGCTTTTCATTTAAGCGTCGTGTTGTGAGCACTTGACGCGTTTTCGGAGGACTTGTAGGGAATATTTTATACTTTCTTTTGTATGTTATGGTATTACTTAAAGGAAATGAATCAACTTTATTGAATCAACTGAACTGACTACTACACCGTATCCTATTGCCTTATTTTCATCAAGATATTTTTTCCGTTACTTATCGTGGTTTATATATCGCAAAACTTACCCGTCAACAATTCGAACATTAAAACACCTAATGACCAATAATCGGCACTTATGTCATGACCGCGATTTAAGATAACTTCCGGGGCCACGTATTCTGGGGTACCGCAAAAAGTCCATGTTTTACGGCCAGATTGCAGTTTTTTGGCAAAACCAAAGTCTACCAATTTCACATAACCCTTGTCATCTAATAACAGATTCTCCGGTTTCAAATCGCGATAGATGATATTGCGTGAATGCAGGTAATCAAAGGCCTCTACCACACAAGCCGTATAAAAACGAGTAGTGCTATCATCAAAGTTGCCCTTATCTCTTAATATAGTCCATAGTTCGCCGCCTAAACAGCTTTCCATTAACATGTATAAATATTTCTTATCCTTAAAAGTTTTAAAAAGTTTGACTATAAATTGACAATTGGCTTCGCCCATAATCTCTTTTTCGGACATAATGTGCTGCTGCTGGCGGGTCTCAACAATTTGAGCTTTCTTCATTTGTTTCAAAGCGAATGAACGCGAATTGTCACCCAAAATTTGAACCAATTCCACACGACCGAAGCCCCCAACACCCAAAGTGGCTATGACACGTAAATCAGTAAGAGAAACCTCACGGAATTCTTCATTGATCCTGTTCAAAAGCAAAAGCGAACGAATAATTATTAAAAAAAAAAAAGAAAAAAAGTAAACATCAGTATTACTAAGACCTACTTTCGTCTTTCCAGTGTACCCTCATCATCATAGCGATGTTTGATTTCATCTAAATTCGATATTAACTGATTAAAAGTTTCACGATCGATCACTAAACAGGTAACACCCTCTGGAGAATCACATATTATATTAGCTGTACGTAAATCATCACTGAAAGTATAGAAATTATTTGTAATTTTATAGCATCGTTATAACTTCACTAATTGAGTCGCTTACCCTTGCAAAGCTTTTTCGCCAAAGAAATCACCTTTAGATAGAGTGCGTATGAATTTCTCCTCTTGCGTGTTAGGCAACTTTATTGTAACACGTACCTTCCCTTTCGATATAATGAAGAACGTATCACCTCGGGCTCCTTGGCGTACAATGTAGTCTCCTTGTTGATAGTGTGTCTCTTCTAAAACATCCGAAATTTTTATAAGAGTATCTTCCTGGAGATTTTTAAATATGGGTACGCTGTCGAAAAACAAATAATAAGAAATTAAAAAAGAAAAAAATTATATAATACCAGAATAATGAGCTTGAAATCAGACTGTAGAAGATAGATAGGAAAGCAAGTAAAAGACAATTTCAAGTAATTCAAAATTAACGCATACCGTAAAATCTCTCAAGCAGGCTGCGGTACAGACGAAAAAGAAAACAAATGAGAAGAGCAAAATTTTCCAAGAGCATAAATTTAAGAGACATATTAATATTGACAATATTTTTTTTATATCCTACACCACTTATCGTACAAGTGTATATTATGTTTGTGCAGATGTATGCAAGACGAAGACGGACGTCAGACAGATTGACACATGGAATGACAAGCTTCGATCGATCAATCAAATGAATTATTTTTGAATCGATCGAAGCATGTGTGGCCGTCTGTCTGTCCGTCTGTCTTGTTTTCAATTTTTGTGTTCAATTCAATAAAACTTTTGCCACAAGGACGAATGCTATTGAAAATGGTTTGAATCGGACCACTTTTTATTTCCCTTACGACATGTTATCCTAAAAAGCAGTCGTATCATTAAGTCGATTCAGCAAAGTTATGTAGTGGATGGTAAACAACTACAGCGATATTACTTGTCGCCGTAATGTGCCGAGTTACATTAGTTATAAAGTGAAGACAAAAACTTAAACACTATTCAAGTGACCGCCCTGCTAAACATCTAATCAGCCTTCCTACAGGCCTAATCAGGTCAACTGCCAACGTATATCAACGAGACACGTACCCACTAGGCTGCGATCACAACTTCCCTAACTCTTGTCCTTTCTTCGTGATATTAATATAAAAGGTTTCGATTACAAAATTGTGATTGAAAAATTTTGTAAAGGCACATTATCAATCTACATATTTATTGCGTAAGAAAAATCAGGGGAGAAGGAAATATTTTGCAAAACTGTATAAATTCAAAAAATAAATATATGTTATTTTATTAACGACACATAGGTGTCAGAGATCCCAGACAGTACGTCTTAAACATATGTCATTATACGCCCATCGATATTGTCTCTCAATATCATAGAAATTAAAAAATCGCCACTTCAAAGGTGACGCCAAAATTGCCTACTAAAGCTCTCACTCTTTAAATCAATTAATTTGAAAAAAACAAAACTGAAAGTTTCGATACGTGTTCATCATAGCTAACTTGAAAGTCAACGGGACCGACTGGGAGATAAAAACGAACAAAGTAAAATAAACAGGAGATAATGGATTACGTAAGTTCGCCACCTAAAACAGAAATACGGATTTGTCAAGTGCGTGAGGAACTACATATCAGGAAATGTATATCATAGAGATCTTATAACGTCGAGCAATGAACGTAGTGCTTAGAAACGTCAAATGGACAATTTCACAATTGATGAAAAGTGAAGACGTTGAGTACCCATATGTACAGTGATGATATGTGTCCAATTATCCAACACATAGAATTGTGCAAGCTTCCAGAGCTAAACGTCTATCTCCTTAAGTGACTCGTAAGAGATGATTGCTCTTTGTTGAGGTTAAGTACGATTTTTGTAATTTTTAGTTGAAAACGGCTGAAGATTTTAGTTAAAAGGTATCAGGACAGACAGAAAAGTATATTCAAGACCAAAATGTCGAAATGACTTTCGACGTGAACTTTTCGTTTTTTACCGCATTAGTTCAATATTCCAGCTCAATAGTCTTCGTAATATTATGATGCGACGTTTGGAAAAATAGAAGCAGGATAACAAAATGGTTAATCTAATCGCTTTAATAAAGTTAAATATTTTATCTCCAAGTACTTTCAAGATGTCCACAGAACTACACACTTCGAAAACGAAAAAATAATACTTGCAAATATTGCAAGTATTATAAGTATAGGATTTAGTCCATAATTATAAATAGGACAAGTACATTTCTTAAGAGTAGAACTACCGAGTGCGTCGTTTTGATCCTTTTCAATTCTCGATCTTCAAAAAAAAGGTTATAAAGCATGAGACTTTAGCGAGTTTTAAATATCCGTAATTTTTCATTGCATGGTACCACATACACCTATTCCTCTCAAAAGGGATCATTGTGATTCGCTATTCCTGTCGAGTTGCCACAATCGAAAAAAAGAAGATAAATGATGAAAAATGTGAGGTTAAAAATTGGGCCTAATCTGTCTATATGCACGGTCGCAATATAGAAAAAGCTAAGACAAGCTCAGGAAAAGTCAACATCTTTTTCATGTCTTCATCCAAAACTATCGATCCGGCGAAGGTGTTTCTGAAAACTTGTAACCCAAATATCACTGTGGCAAGTCGACAAAGATAGGGAATGCATTTTTCTTTTGGTAAAAACATCGGTAGGTCTAATGTTAAGAATTCAGTAGTGTGTCACAATTAATTTTTTTTATCTTAATTTTCTTGGCTTTGATCGAATATAAAGAAGGAATGAGGTTTTACGATTAACAGACTCTGAAACTAAGGAAAGATTTTTCACAATTTTTCGTAAGCTTATATATATTATAAGCTTTGTATTTGTAATATTTTTTTCCCCTTTTCTAGAAAAGTGAAAAAAATATTCAAATTTTTGTATTAAGTAAATTTCTTCTCTTAGATGTGTGTACATATGTATATATTCTGTTCATGATACATAACATCTTGCTTGTTCAATAATTCAATCAGTCAATGAACTTTTTTCTTTCCTGAAGATGACAAGGTTCGCTCGTCAATATATAGCCTTTTTTCTTCTTCTTCTTATTTTATCCGGTAATTGTGGTTTAGTTATAGACTTAAAGACTGAAGGTAAGAGAGTATATCAAAGTGTGTAGATAGTGACGTGTGTTGTTTGAATGTACAAATCGTACAAATAAAGGCGGAGAGAAAGTTTCATTCATTTGTCTGTTGTCTGTTGTAAAAATATGACGGATATATGTTAGAAAACATACCACAACTTCGTGACCATCAACCGCGAAACATTAAAACTTGGTTGCGGTGATGGCGATTTTTTAGGCTTGTTATGAGAAAAAAAAGAAAAAAGAAAAAAAGGAAAAAATAAACGCAAACAGATCTTACTTAGCTAGCTGTGTGGCGGTTTTAAATAAATGATCCGACTGGGCAATGAGCCTATAAGTAGCGTTATGCAGTGATTACCAAATAAACAAAAACTTGTAAATAATTTTAGTAAGAGTATGTTATGATTTTGTTAACACCAACACTAATCCCTACCACTGCAATCAATTTGAATTCCCTCACACTGCCACAAACGACAATAAAGTGGACATGTCTTTCAATTTTTTTTCGCATTTTTGCCGTAACCACTGATTAATTATTTGAATAAGTGATAAATTTTTTAAAAAATAAACAAAGCACTTAACAACTAACCAATAAATCAGTTGTTTTTTTTTTTAATCACGATGCAAATATCTATAGAAATAACAACGCCAGGTATAACTGCTGCTGTCATTGCAGCATTAGGTGATTGAAATGGTAAAAAGCAATTTTGATTTCACTTTTGTAGGTTTTCTTTTGCTTTTTGTCTTCATTTTTATCTACGCATATATATATATATATGTAATATATGTGGACGGACAAATGGATGGATAGCAAAAGTGACGCTTGAAGAGATATTAAGTAGGCTTTTATTATATTTGCGTCCATCATCGCATTATTACATTGGTATTATTTTACACTTTATTGTCGATGATATACATGTATGTATGTGCGCATTTGTATAGCCGTATACGTGATATTTACACAATTGGCTATGTAAGGTTTTTTGGATTTTATGCAGTAAGAAGCATAGCAAACAAACTATTGGGTTTCATCATGATCTGCTACCGAAAATAGTAGTTTATTAATTTTGTCGTGACATTTATAACACTTGGAAATATGCACCGAAGACCTCTTAAATCGCCTCCGAATCATCGCATCATTGTGAAATTCCAAGTCCGATATATAAATGGGCTAATCCAGTTCATACAGGCACAGAGCAAAACCTTAAAGAACATTTGATTATGGCACAGTGATCGGTCACTACTCTTAACAGAAAACAAAGTCTATTGGCTTGCTATGGATATGTTGGTTTCGTACCAAGTTTGGTATTCCGAAGGAATAGTCATAATAAGAAAATCCTCTTACATCAACTTTATTATTATCCCAGAAACTACACAGAAAACTACGTCTTATGACTTGTGATATATCTATGATGTTGCTCAGAATATGGTCATAAGAGAGACTTTAAAGTTTGAAAAATTTATATCCAATAACAACTTGAAAAATTTTTGTCAGTTGCCATTAAGAAAACTTACCTTTTTTAACATTTTTAAAGGCATTCGCGGAACAAGGTTTAAATTAATTGTAGCAAGAAAAAAATTCACTTTTGGTTTAGGCTGAATTTTTTTTTAAAACCTACTATCAGCTTATATGTATAATATGATGTTTGATTGAACGACAATGTTTGGTATATATGTATGTGTCACAATTATTTTATATCATGTTTGTTGTATTAGCGATTTTCTAGCATTTCATAGGTAATTCATCGAATTTAAACTGTATGTATTCCGCGTATACTTAGATCATTTTTGATAAAGTTTGAGAAAACCCTTTAATTGAGTTAATTGTTATATTCTATATAACGGGTATATTAACTTTCTGCGGACGTATACAACATCCAGACGGACTTGAGATAGATCCAGCTTTCGTTATACCGATGGAGTCAGAATGATTGGGTCGGTATAAGCTTGTCTGTTCGTCTTGTGTACAAGGGTATATTAAGTTTGTGTGGATGTATGCAACACCCAAAAAAAAAGTTGAGGTAAACCTTTCTTTCATTATATCGGTGTATTCAGAATCACTTCCTGAATTGATTTAAGCTTACTGATCCGTCTGTCCATATTGTTTATTTGTGTTCAACCTGGAAGAAGACTGGGTTTTGGGCCAAGGCCGAATTCTATTGAAAATGTCTTGCCATATAGTATCTTACTTTGAAAAGTCGTTATATGCAAAACCGTATTAAGCGGGGGTACCTAATGGCACGTTGTGGTCCGTACCTCACTCTAGTGTCTTTACTTTTAGTAAAGAAAAGTTAAAGACAAGTTTGTATAACAAGTTTTGCCAAGTGTTGCCAACTGTTGTCGGTCCCATAGGTCGGTTTAGCTGAGCTTTTGATGTCGCCTCAGGATTCAAAAAAGTTTTTTCATCTAAATTAAGTTTTCAGTTTGTAAGCACAATTTCAAAAAGTTGATCGTAAAAGGTTTTCAATGTGTACTCGACAAACCTTTATGGTGGACATAAAACTTCTCGCCATATTTGTCTTTTGGAATGCTAGCGAACAGCACTTTACAATTACAAGCTCACATACCAACGATATATATGTATCTTGGATTGTCGCAAATTTCGAATACTTAGTGGCTTAAACAGTTATAATGGTGCGAGTGGATGTGTCACTTGGCTTCGTACAAATCTTTTAAGCATTGCCCACTAGTTTCATGCATTCAAGTCGTTTGTTTACAGCAATATTTCGAGATTTCGGTTTTTCGCCGCTTATAGACATATTTGCGGATGATGATTGTCCACATGTTAGAATTGCAAATCTAGAGAACGTGTGTTAAGTTCGCATTTAGAATACGTACGAATGGACGGTCATGCGGACATCAATTGAGAAGCAAGACATAACATATGTATACGAGTTGAGTGATAAATGCCTGTTCACGATCGAATTGTTTCGATAGTTTCGACCATTGCATCTTTATTCTAGAGAACAGTTGAACGATTTTTTTAAAAGCTATCTTCGTAGGCTCGGTTGCCAGCAGTGTCTGACCCGAAGCTGAACCGCGTGGCCGCTGTGTTGCGCAAGTTTTATCGATAGTCAGCAGACCGTCCGTTAAGCTGCTCTCTTCGTTACTGTACTCGCCCAAACTTAACCATCATCAACTCGTCTCTTCTTTTATCCCCATATCGAGTTAACAGAGACTTGTAGATGTAGAATCATTTTCTGAATTAATTCAAACGTCTTTTTGTCTGTCCTTCTATTCATATTTGCCTACTTACGGGTTTTAACACAGGTTTGAGCACTACCGAAAATGGGTTGGATGGCCATGTGTGCCCGTCTGTCCGTCTGTGTGGTGTGTTTTCTTTGCACTCTTCTGGTCGCAAAAATGAAGATACCGATGTTAAATTTGGTAGCAGTGTTGCAAGCCCTTACACGCAGGTTGGTATTAAAAATGGGCCAATTTGGTCAGAATAGAGGCCCGCAGTGAAGCATATACTGAACCCAATTCCGTTTTTCTTAACAAAAATTTGTAGGTTTTTGCTCGTTAATCAGAAATTGTAAACGTTAGAAGGCTAAAATTTTTCCAAAAGTGAGTAAAATCGGACATGCCAACACAAAGTTACAAACGATTAAATTTTATTTTTTTCACTTTTTTAAAGTTTAATGCTATAAAACCAAATATTTAAAACTTATTTGTATATTTCTTAAATGAAGATATATTATCTGTGTAGAAATGGATTAATTCTAAAATGAATATGATAGACACAACGATCTGATTTTTCCTTAATAATACCAGCGATATGGGTACCAAATGAAAGAACTTGGAAAGTAGATTACGAAAAGCATAGCGGTGAGTATGCCAGATTCGGCATCCGCCGAATACAGTTTTCGTACTTGTTTTGAAACATAACTACTCAGGGGATGCTCGCTTCAGGGCGAAGGTTAGAAAGACGTGAGAAAGGGGAATGAGATAGGGATGTGGTGGTCGCAAACCTAGCGGCTATGTGCCCAACTGAGCATTCACTATAGCTACGACCAAAGTAAACTCTAACGCACTGGCATTTGAACCCGCGCATATGGACTTGGTAGTCGCGATTTTTACTTATTCATGCGGATAAAGCTGATCTGAACTTAACTAAGTATACTCTTGGATTGTTCTTTTTTTTTTTTGGAAAAAGAGAGAAAAAATGAATTCGCTAAACTAGCGGAAGCATTGAAGACTTTACCCAGAAGAATGCAATTGCTAGGGGACAGTAAAAAGTTATAAACTTTAACTTTACAGATGAGCAATTTGCGAGTATATGCGTGAGAAGAATATTTTATAGACATTTCATTACGTACCTCTTGAGAAAATCAGTATATTCGGCTTGACGTATGAGCCCCGTACGCATCATAATAGTTTGAAAGCATTGCCGTTCAATCGCCCATAGCTTACATTCGGTGATTGCTGTTATGGTGGCTGTGCGTTGGCAATTGTAAAGTATAGCCAATTCGCCCAGCACTTTCGCCCCAGACAACGTGGAGAGATATTTACCTTCGCGTGACACCTCAACGCGTCCCTCTACAATGAAAGGAAAAAATGAAGAAAAAAAAGATCATAACATTCATGCGTTTGGTTTTAATAACAAATAACACAAAGTATCACAAAGTATTCAGCAAACCGCAAAATTATCATCTTACCATCGTCCTCTTTCGACGCGTTTATGGTATCGATATCTTGATCTTTTAGATTACCGGTGCGACGTTTGCGTGCGTAGGTATGAACAGGTACTATTAAACGCGGTCGTGGTATAGAAAATTGATCACTTAAAGTTTGCGATGCCCGGACGCTGCTTCCACTGGCTACGGATTTGGCTGTCGATGATGCTGACGATGAGCCGCTATCTTGACGGGTATGAGAGGTTTTTGTTTCATTTACATTAAAATTTTCAAAGGGTTCCGTTAAGGAATCAAGACTTTGACTCTTTATTAAATCGGTTTTAATATCTAGCGATTCTTTACGCGTTGCATTTTTGAATGTTTGATTTCGTTGAAGTTTGCCATTAACTGCTGGCAAGGGGGATTTATTAAGAATTTGGGTATTTGGAAATTTAACAGATCTGGAACGATTTACCGGCACTATGGTGCGAGGCTTAGGTACAGGTTGTGCTTGTGAGACTGCATTATCTGCAGTAGATCTTAAACTATCTCTATCACAGTTTGAGCTTTGCAAAGATAGCGTTTTAGGCATGGTAACGTCCGTATTCGCATCTTCTTCTGATATTGATGGCTCATCTTTATAATCATTGGGCGTTTTCGAATTTATAGACGCCTCACTAAGTTGAGATTCCATCTTTGTGTTATACATCATAGTTTGCGAGCGTTTAAGAGAGGGCGGTTTCACGGATATCTGTTGCCTAGGCCTCTGATTACGTCTTTGGACATTGTAGACTGATTGTTTAGCAAGCGCCGAATACTCATCATCATTTTTATTTTCGGGTATAGTGTTATCCCACTCGAAATTATGTCTGGGCCTTCGTAGTCTTAATGTTGAAGGCTTATAGCCATTTAAATCTTTAATAGCATGCACTATGTTAATGTCTTTAGTTTGCTGCTCCAAAGATCTTATTTGCTCCAAAGTCATTTGATATCTACCTAAGGTGGAAACACCGTCCTTTAGGAAGCTGCCGTTCGTTTTTGGGTATTCGATATTCATTTGCGTTGCCGTTAAGGGTGCATTTGTGAAGTGCGTTAGGCGTGGTCGAAAATTTTGTTGAGCCTGATACCAATTAGCCTCATAGAGCTCAACCATGGCATTGTTTCGATCCAAGGAAAGGCTGGCATCTACCGCCTTACCGGGATATCTTTCGATTTTCATATTTAAATAAATTGTTAAAATTTCATATAAAACTTTCAAGTCCTAATTTTCATTATTGATTACGTTCAATAGCGTTCAATAGAGCTGATAAAGTGGAAAAAAAAATATTTGGTTTTTGTTCAGGAACTCTTTGCATAAGTAGCGTTTGTCCGTTAAGTTATAAAAGTTTTCTTTTATTTCTTTTGCTGCGAATTTTTTTTTTTCTCTAATTTATTAACGTATATAACAAGAGTTTTGCGTAATTAAATAAAAAAATATTTATTTTTTCCGCACATTGCATACTAAAAAGCTGATTATGCATCAAAATAT